TGTCCTCAGCATTTACAGATAACATCTCAGTTAATACTTTGATGTATGCATTCAGGTTCTTTTTTTCCTGTCAGTTATATTTCAGATAGTTTTGAAATGACTTTTCTTTTTTTTTTTCCGGTACCAGGAATTGAACTCACGACCTTGCACTTGCCAGGCAGGTGCTGTGCCGCTGAGCTAAATCCCAGCCCCCTGAAATGACTTTTCCATGCTCAGCATATATGGTGAACATTTCCCATAAACTTCTGCAGCATTTCCCCATTTATTTATTTATTGTACCAGGAATCAAACTCAGGACCTTGTGCTTGCCAGGCAGGTGCTTGTGCCACTAAGCTGTATCCAGGACCCCTCCCCCAATTTTAAAAATGAATTTTTGGATATTCAAAGAAGTTAAAAGATGGTGTGTAATGTCCTACCCTATGTCCTTCACCTAGATTCAACAGTTATAGGTAGCTTTTCATAATTTTTTTTTTTTTTTTTTCGTTTGAAGTGGGGTTTTTCTGTGTTACCCAAATGGTCTTGCACTGTTAGGCTTGTTGTCCTATTTCAGTCTCTGGAGTACCTAAGGCTGTATGTGCATGCTACCATTCCTGGTTTTAATAATTCTTTGATCTCTATGCATACATTTTTACTTTTACTGAACCCAAGTTGCAGACATCTTGACATTTTACCCCTAAGTATTTTAACATGTAGCTCTTAAAAGTAGTCTTTTTGAGACAGGGTCTCGCTATGCGGTTCAGGCTGGCCTTGAACTCACTTTGTAGCCCAGGCTGGTCTCGAAATGATCCTCCTGCCACAGCCTCCCGAGTGCTGGGATTGCAGGTGTGCGCCACCACACCCGGCATTTTTCTTTTTTTAAAATGTTTTATTAGTACATGTTTACATTACATAATGATTACGTTTCTTTGGGGATTGGGTATATGTACATCTCATAACATTTCAGTTCCTTTTTTTCTTTTCTCTTTTGGTGTTGGGAATTGAACTCAGGGCCTTGTACTTGCCAGACAGGTGCTGTGCCACTGAGCTACATCCCTGGCCCCTCAGTTCCTTTGTTATCCCTCTTTTCATCTCTTGATCCCCTTCTCATCTGAGAAAGCTCTATCTCCCTACTTTTTATCTATATTTTACTTTATTTTTGTTGTTTTTTTGAGACAGGATCTTACTGTGTAGTTCAGGCTGGCCTTGAACTTGTGGCAAGCCTGCCTTGGTCTCCTGAGTGCTGGGGTTATAATATGTGCCACTGTGCTTGGCTATTTTTTACTTTTTTGAGACAGGATTTTGCTATGTAGTTAAACTAGCACTACGTAGCCCAGGCTGACCTTGAATTTGGGACAGTCCTTTTGCCTCAGCCTCCCTAGTGCTGGGATTACAGGTGTGTACCACAATACCTGGCCTACCTATCTTTTATTTTGCTCTTTATATCTTTCATTTTACTCTTTATTTATATTTTGCAATTTTTAAGCTTGTGTGTCTTATTTCACTTAACATTATGGTCTCAAGGTGCATCTGTTTTATTTTTACAAATGTTATTTTTACAATGTCTCAAGTTTATCCTTTATAGCAGAGTAGTAATCTGTTGTGTGCAAGTGCCACATTTTCTTTATCCATTCATCTGTTGATGGACATTTAGGCTGCTTCCAAGATTTAGCTATTATGAATTGTGTTGCTATAAACATGGATATGCATGTGTTGCTGTAATATGATGTCTTCAACTGTTTGAGGAAGATATCTAGAAGGAGAATAGTTGGTTCAAATGGAATTTCTCTTTTTAGTTTTATGAACTCTCCATACTGATTTCCTTAGTGATTGTGCTAGTTTTCAGTGATTGTGCTAGTTTACATTCCTACCAACGATGTAGAAGGGTTCCTTTTTCCATGCATTCTTGCCAGCATTTGTTATTATTTGATTTCTTGATGATAGAACATATAAAGAACTAAAAAAAATGAGACCCTCCCAAATAAAACACACTTTTAAAAAATGGGCAACTGAAATGAATAGACATTTCTCAGAAGTACAATGGCAATAAATACATGAAAAAATGTTCAACATTGCTGGCCATTAGAGAAATACAAATTAAGACAACACTGAAATTTAGTTCATGTTTGTCTTAGTTACTTTTCTCTTGTTGCTGAGGCAAAATAGCCAACACCCAAAGATAAAGGAGGAAAGGTTATGTAGCTCACCATTCGTGGAGGTTTCAGTCCATAATCAGCTGGCTCCATGGCAGGGTGGCCTGGCTGAGGGACAACCATTCATGGCAGTGAAAGACAGCAAAAGCAACAAGAGCAAAAAGGATAGCAAGCCTCTTTCCTCCCTTATAAGGTAAGCAGGTTACCCACCCTAGGGTGGATCCTCTACATTTTAGGATGTAGAACTGCTGGGTACTTAGTTAAGCTTCTAAACTCAAATTGACACAATGAATCAACCATCACAACATCCTAAGGTGTAAACAACCACCCTAGGACATGTCCTCTACACCCTAGGATGTAGAACTGCTAAGTCGCTTAGTTAAGAAGTTAAACTTCTCAGGTTTACACAATGTATCAACCATTACAATGTTCATTATTACTTTGAAGTAGCCATTAGGTCTCTTGCCAGATTTTATTTGTGTTAATAAAGGAGCATATGTTGTTTTATCACATGTTTGTAAAATAGTTTTATAATAACTCTTTCAATTTTTTTGGTACCCTTTTTTTTGTGTTTGCTTTTTGAGGCAGGATCTCACTGTGTAATCCAGGCTGGCCTCAAACTCATAATCCTCATGCCTCAATCTTTCCAGGTGTAAGCTTCCATGCCTATCTTGTTTGAACTGTACTTCAGTTCATTTATGGTATCTGTGTCAGTTACTTTTGTGACAGAGACAAAGGCATTCTGGAAAAGGGCTTATGTCTGTACTGACCAGTTGTTGTCACTAGCTGCATATAACCACGAAGTACTTGAAATGTGGCTTGTCTGAATTGAGATGTACTATAATTTAAAAATACATACAGTAGTTTAAACACTTAGTACTTAGTAAAACCTCTAGTTTTAAATGTATTGGTTATGTATTGAAATAATAATTTGGATATGTTTGATTAAATAAAGAATGTTAAAATTAATTTCACCAATTTCTTTGTACTTTCTTAATGTAACTATTAGAACATTTTAAATTACATATATGGCTTATGGTTCTATTGAACAGTGCTGATGTATGGGCTTCATGAGACTGCCAAAGGATCAATCCATGGTATTAAAAAAAATTTTCACATTTCTATGAAGAGCTTTAATTAGATTCAGATTAAACATTTAAAACATTTTTATAAATAAAGAATACTTTGTGATAAAGGATACTTCATATTACATCATACTGGGAAACATATATTGTGTTTCTTTTCCATCAATGCTAAGCTTATTTATTTATTTATTTATTTATTTTTTCCGGAATCGAACTCATGACCTTGTGCTTGCCAGGCAGGCACTGTGCCACTGAGCTAAATCCCCAGCCCCTAAGCTTAGTTATTTAAAGAGTGCCTGTGACTAAGTCAACATTTCAGACTTAACCCTTTGTTGCTAAGTAACCAGTCAGGTGATACAAACATAGGAACAGGATTATTAAAGTCACAAATAACCTGGTCCCCTGATAGCTTTTTTATTTTTTATTTTTAAATTTCTTTTTGGTACCAGGAATCGTACTCAGGACCTTGCGCTTGCCAGGCAGGTGCTTATGCCACTGAGCTATATCCCTGGCTCTGATAGCTTTTTTACCCAATGATTTTGACATCCATTATACTTTCCTGACTCATTTATTAGCATGGGGATTATGAAATGGTCATTTTCTTTTTCTTTTTTCTTTTTCTTTTGTCTTTTTGAGACAGGGTCTCTCTATGCAGTTCAGGCTGGCCTGGAGCTCACTTTATAGCCCTGGCTGGTTTCAAACTCTCAAAGATCCTCCTGCTTCAGCCTCCCCAGTGCTGGGATTACTGGAGTGCACCATCATTTTCTAATTCTTCTACATTCATGATAAAAGACATATTCTGTTATCTCTGTTCTTTTGAGGGTCCACCCCTATCTCTGTTCTTTTGAGGGTCCACCCCCATGGTCATAAACATTCATTCATTTATTTATTGAGTTATAGACAGTCACAAGCCCTTTCTTTCTCTTCCTGCTTCCCTTCCCATTCCCACCCCGCTACCCCTTTATCCCTCTTCTTTATCCTGTTAAATGCCCAGGCTGGTCTTAAATTGCTGGACTCAAGTATTCTTTCTGTCTCAGTCTCCCACATAGCTAGGTTTATAGGTATAAGCCATGGTGTTGTGTTCTTTATTCTTTCTGTCATTCTTGTTGAGCCCCCTTCCCCTCCTCCAGTCTTAAAAACCTCCGGTAGGCTAAGGCAGAAGGATCAGATATGAGCACAGTCTCAGTCCAAAGGCCTTGGTTTCAGTGACAGCCCCCTGGCCCCTGCCAAGAAGCTTCTCTTGAATTTAATAATTATTAAGTATGGCTTAACATTTCTTCTGGCTTTGAGTGATACAGTACTTGCAGTTGCATAGGACAGCAGACTTAAGCATTATGTTTAATAGAAGAAACAAAATATTCTTAAAAAATAAATAATAAAGAGAGGTATACCTTTTAGGTAATATTGTACTGTAGTTTGAGTGTTGTGGAATAAGAAAAATCAGGATCTTGCAAAGAAACCCTTTGTTCACTTTAGCATTTTATCTTGGGTGGAAAAACTGGAAATATCTTGGTATCAGAGAACCCCAAAGGGAAAAGTTCTATGTGCTTGAGAATGCTCTTCTATACAGTATCCTGTACTATATATGTAGTATTCTTAGTGTAAATTTGAAATTAAGTGTAAGAGGTTGTAAAGAGTTACTCATGTGCAGGGTAGTTAGAATGATTTCATTTTGTGGGGAATATAGTTTTCCTGGTGTAAAAAATTTTAAGTCTGAAAAGATTTGTTATGTAGTTCATGTTGTATTTCATGTTTCCATGACTTTGGCCTTTTGTTTCTCTCTTAGAAATGACTGCTGTTCACACTGGCAACATAAACTTCAAATGGGACCCCAAAAGTCTAGAGATCAGGACTCTGGCGGTTGAAAGACTATTGGAGCCTCTTGTTACACAGGTAAGAATTTGAAAATGCAAATATATAGCTGTTGTAACAAGGTTCTGTAGCAATACGCCTGGGTTGGGTTACAGACACAAGACAACAGTCTTAATCTGAGTAGTTGAATTTAGATTGATTTGGTTCTACTAGTAACTGAATATTGGTACATGGGTTTATTTAATCCTTTAGAACACAGCTGTTGCCATTTTCTCTTGTCTTATTGCCAGTAGGAGAAGTTGTTGGTTTGTGGTGCAACTTCCTGAATGTTTGCCTTTTGGGAATAATTTCACCCTTCCTGTGAGGGGAAACCTAAGATTGAGACATGGACCCTTGGTTGTTAAGGTTCTTACTCAACCTAATGTCCTTTCTATTGGGTAGACTTAATGATCAGTTAATTCAATTTAAAGATGTAGGTTGGATATGCTCTATTACAAGTACATGTAATGTGATGGCATTTATTAAGTGTCACAAATAGCTATGTATTTTTAGTTTGGGCATAGTTTGAGGGAGAGAGAGCGATAGAGAGATTGAGAGATTTCCTTATTTATTTTAAAGAGAAAAAACAAAATTTCAAAACAAGATAATAGAAGGGTAACAGTGGTTAATATGTTGCGTATTGTTATCTTTGAATTAGTTACTCAGTACATGAGAGATTTATTGATGTTTGCCATCTTTTTTTTTGTTTTCGTTTGCCATCTTTAAAAAATTTCATCCCAACTCAAATATAAACTAGTATTTTATATATATATATATATATATATATATATATATGGGAATATATAGTTAAGACTGTAATGTTTACTTTCTTAAGCCCTCAGTAGGTCTTTTATTTGGCAGATGTATACTATAACAAATTTTTAATCGTCTTCAACCTACAGATCATCTGGTATTGTACTTATTAATGATGGTTAAATATTCTGGGACCTAAAGTACCATCACAGTAGGCTTCTTTGGGCAGTCATCCTTTCTTTGTTAAGGGCCTTTACTAATTAGTTGCTAAGATTTGTATGACTAACCTGAAAAAAGACTGCAGAGGTAAGTTATCTTAAAACATTTTGCAAAGATTGATGGTGTAATCAGGGAGCTGCTCCTAAAAGTAGCTCGCCAAATAAATATTACCAGGTTCTGGGTTGTTCTTCTGTCTTTCTGGAGTTAAATTCCAGATTCTTCTTGACTCCAACAGAGAATTGAGTGAAACAAGCAAAAAGCAGTGACAAGTTAATTTGAAAAAGTAAAAGTGAAGAGTGAGAGAAATTGGTTTTGCAGAGCAAGCTTGGGACGAGTAAAAGGAAAAAGCTAGATGAAACTATACCCTAGAGGGAGCGGGTAGGCTATTGTGAGGAAGGCCACAATAGCAAGCTGTTCTTGGCGTCTGTGTTCTTTTATACTGTCCAGATCTTCTGGCAACTTGTGAGAACTTACATATGGGTCCTGAAAGGCAGTGTTGAGGTCCCACACCTCAGGTTGAGGTCAGGTCTAGGCCATTCTATTGAAAACCTGCTTGAGTTTTTATAAGAAGTCCAGATGCAGGCTTTTGGGAACTGTTCTGCACATGTGTTACAGGGTTTTGTAATTAACAGGTCATGCATATTTCCACAACCAGCTTAGTCTCATCCTAATCTCCTGTGTCATTACCAATAACAAAATGTAACTTTTAGGTAAGTCTCTAAAGTCATTTTTAACATCTGTTTGGAGCTTCTTGGTGACACATGATAAACATTTAATTTGTCTGTAATTATTTTTAAATTTGTGAAATTAAACTAAAAGCCTAATAATATTTGAGGAATTTAATATGTATTATTTTTCTTACACATTGAGAAAGCTAAATTATTTTAGAAACTAAATACGGTACCATTGCTGTGTATGTTAAATATGGAGAGTTATCTTATTTACTGCTTAGCAGAATCTTTTAAATGTGATGTTTCATTTCCTTAGGAGTAACCTATTTTTGCTGTCTTTAAAGGTGTTAGTCTTTCTATTATTTTCATTTTGAATGACTATAGTTTATTTTTTAAATGAAACTTCTAGGTTACAACCCTGGTCAACACCAATAGCAAGGGGCCCTCTAATAAAAAGAGAGGTCGTTCTAAGAAGGCCCATGTTTTGGCTGCATCTGTTGAACAAGCAACTGAGAATTTTTTGGAGAAGGGGGATAAAATTGCAAAGGAGAGTCAATTTCTCAAGGAGGAGCTTGTGGCTGCTGTAGAAGATGTTCGAAAGCAAGGTAGGTTAAGATCACTTTTTATATAAGGAGAGGCAGGCTTTTCTGAAAAATTCCTCTTTTTACCAGGCCCTGGGAAAGGAACCCAGTCCCTTATACTTTACATATTTTGCTACTGGCTTTATCCCTAGTTCCTGCAAAAGGAATCTTTGAAGGGGACTTCTATAATCAGTGTTATTGTTACTAGGCATGTTCAGTAACTTTTTAATCAGGAGAGTTGCTTATAAAAGAATACAGTATATCTTTGTAGAGGGTGAATTCACATCTGTTGGGTGCTTCAAGAGCTAGTCAAGTCAGAAATACAGTAATACAACCTGCTAGGAAATAGATGGGATAGAAGTTTACCTTTCATCCTAAGTGATACCTCCTTTTTGTTCATACTGACCATATGGGATAGTAAAATGGAAAAATATCTAGCCTGGTAATAGTCCTTACTTTGAAAATAGTCTAGAAAATGTTCCTTTCTGTCACACTCGTTTGTTAAACCAGCTGTGCTTGTATTGGTTTGACTTTAATCTAAATAAATCTGGATTTAAGCCAGGCCTGGTGGTATATGCCTATAATCCCAGCACTTGCGAACCTGAGGCAGGAGGATCATTGTGAGTTCAAGGCCAGCCTGGAATACATAGCAAGAACTTGTCCCTCCCTCTAATTTTGGGCTTAAAGGAAATCATGTTTTGAGAAATTTAGAACTGATAAAAGATAAAATGATCATTAATCCACAGCTTACCAGTAATTACCATTGGAAAAAATTGTCACTATTGCTCTAACGTTGAAGACTTTAAATGTGAAAGATAAACACGTTTCTTCTCCCTTCTCTTCCACTTCTTCCTTCTCTTCCATTTTCATCTTCTCCCACTTTATTTATTTATTTATTTATTTATCTTTCGTGAGATCATCTGTTATGGTTTGTCTGTGTGTCCCCCTAAAGCCTCATGCGGCCATGGGGCAGGCTTTTAGAGTTGATTGAGGTGTGAGAGCTACACCCACCCTGGGGTGGATAGTTTGCATATGTAAGGGAGAGGAAAAGGGTGCTTGAGGCCATTCCTCCCGGATTCCGCCCTGGTGTGTGTTTTGTTGCTTTTGCTGTTATCTGCCACCCTGAGCTGTAGCTCTCTGCCATGTGCCACTCTGCCTTATAATCTGCCAAGTACGGACTAAAACCTCCACAAACTCTAAACAAAATTAAACCTTTCCTTCCTTAATTTTGGGCATCAGGTGTTTTGTCCCAGCAGCAAGAAAAACGTAACCAAGACATCATCTTACCTATTTGCCCAGGGTGCCCTTGAACTTGTGATCCTCTATGCATGTGCTACCATGCCTGACTGAAAGGTAAACTTCTTGAAACCTGTAGTTTTGTGTTAAACTCATGTTCCACAGGCAGGCTTAAACAAAGACACAGGTTTTTGAAGCCACTGGATGTCAGCGAGGGTGAATTGTGTAGCTATTATGGACAGGTGTTTATTGGCCTGTGGGGGAGAGCCTTATTGGTTCTCTGGTTCCTGACAGCAAAGCACACAGTCCAATACAGTCTCATGTCAAATTCATCCCTGTGATAGTAACTGAAAGGGGTCATACATTTCCACTGTTCAGAATTTGTGAACTAAAAACTTTATTAAAACTTTATTTATCGAATATTTTTCTCAATTTTTAGACTGAAGATAAATATTTCTAGTACTAACAAATGATGAAATTATTAAAACTTTGTAACGTGAATGAGGTAGGTATATTAGTTTACTAAGGCTCCCATAATGTAAATTACTTGGAACAAATTTGGTGGTTTAAAAACAATAGAAATTTATTTTCTCATGGTTCTAGAGGCTAGAAATCTGAAATCATAGCGTTGGCAGGCTTGTTTCCTTCTTGAGCTCAAGAAAAATCTATTCCATGCTGTTTCCTAGCTTCTTTTTATTTATTTAATTTTTGTTATTTGAGACAGGGTCTCACTGTGTAGCCCAGGCTGGCCTCAAACTCTCAGACGATCCCCCTGCCTCACCTTCTTGGAGTGCTGGGATTACAGGCATGTACCACATGCCCATCTCTTCTAGCTGCTTCTGGTTACCTGGTGTTACTTGGCTTGGAGACCCATGATTCCAAACTCTGTGTTTGTTGTCACGTATTATTCTCCTTGTATATCTCTGTGTCCACATTTTTCTCTTGTAAGGACATGGTTCATTTAAAATTAGCACCCACCCTAATCTAGTATGACCCCATATCATCTACCAAAGATTATTCCTAAATAAATTCGCATTCATAGGTTCTGGATAGCTGTGAGTTTCTAGGGGTCTCTATTTAACCCAGTAGAGTAGATTTCTGAGTTTATTTTGAAAGAGTTTAATGCTGCACTTTAGAGCTTTCTGTTGAAATCATGATGGCTCTTAGTTTATTGTTCTTTATGGGAAGGTTCTGCTCCCCAACCTTTATTGCAGTCTATGGTAAAACTTACATTAACAGATGAATTTAGCTAATTCTTCATTGAATCTAGTCACTAAGGCATTTAATTATTCTACGTAACTTTTTATTTCACTTTATGGTTCACATTTCAGATGTTTCTCTGAGACAAATTTGTAACAAGTATGGTACACTTCCTTCCAAAAAACCCCCTCAGTTTTTGAAAAATTAATTAATTAATTGAAGACAGTGTCTCACCAGGTAGCACAAGGAGGCTTTGAACTCACTATATAGCCTAGGGCGGCCTGGAATTCGCTGTCATCCTCCTGTGTCAGTCTCCTGCTTGCTGAGATTATAGGCATGTGCTACCACATCTGGCATCCCCACAATTTTGAATGTGTATCTGTTTGTTTATTTTTTTTTTTTTGAGACAGGGTCTCACCATGTAGTTCAGGCTGGCGTTGAGTTCACTATGTAGCCCAGGCTGGCCTCACGCTTGTAGTGATGCTCCTGCCTCAGCCTCCCCAGGGATTACAGGTGTGCACTACTATACCTGGCTGTTGAATTTATATCTGGATTTGTCTTTTCTTATTACTTTCGTTTATATCTGCAAGTGTTTTATGTGATTCTGAATCAAAGACTTGTCTCTCCCAGTCCACCTTTGTAGTTACTTATATCATGATCTATTTACCATAACTTGCCTTCACTTTAGGAAAAATAAAAGCCCAAACCAAAAATATAACTGTCTCTCATGGTCATCATTGCATCAGATATGAAAAATTGGAATGCCTTCTTTTTTTCTTTCCCTCTTTGAGACAGGGTCTCACTGTGTAGTCTAGGCCTGCCTTAAACTTGCTATGTAGCCCTAGTCTCCTGCCTCAGCTTCCCAGGAGTGCTAGGATTGCAGGTGTGCCTGGCTGGCAAATTTTTTGGTAAAAAGCCTGGTAATAACTATTTTAGCTTTACTGCCCGTAAGGTTTCCCTTGAAACTATTCCACTCTGCTACTGTGTTGTAAAAGCAGAGCAATACTGTATATAAATAAAAGTGTATAACCATGTTCTAAACTTACTTACAAAAAGAAAAAATGAGCCAGATTTGATTTATAGGCTATAGTTTTCTAACCCCTGATCTAGGTTTTTCCCAGGCTATTAAAGTGTATTTGTTCATATATTTATTTATAACATCCTTGAGCCATAAATGAGACCCTCCATGTATTTGGATTTGTACATGCCCTGTGCTTTTGATGCAATCATAATTAATACCCAGAAATTTAAATGTATATAGTTTTTGTAGCACAACAACTTTCTGTGTAAATTCCTTCTTACATGAGTAATATATATGGATATTTGTGGGTACACTAAAACATCACCAAGTGCTGAAAGTGTGATGAAAATATTAATTTACAAAAAACTTGGTCATTTTATATCAAGGTTAATGAAATGGCCAGGCGAGCTCCTTGGTGAATGGGAGCCAATCATCGTTTGCTTAACGTCCAAGTCCCTATAATGTAGGAGTTATATTGAACTAGTTGTTGAGTCTTACGTGGGCTGAGGGATACCTGTTCCTCTTAGATGTGCTCTTTTCTTTTTGGTATGCTGCTCAGCTTCTGTATCCCCCATCTTGACTAGGTCATTCTTACCTTTATACTTTTCCTTCCGAGTTCTTATCATAACAGTAATTCAGTGAGTTGCCTGCCCCTTTCCAAGCTCTAGCTGGACAGCTTCTGTGGTAGTCTAGTGGCCCTTTTCTGATACCCAACATGGTACTTGATGTGCAGTAGGCACTTAATTAGTTAAGATATTTAACTACTTTTAAGAAGGACGTTGTGAACAAAAGGCTTTCTTTCGCAGATGTAGAATTTATTTTCCTCCTCAGTAGGGGTGGATAATCTTACCTTTTTTTTTTTATTTGAGGTATGATGGTACACCGGTGGCAAACCTATAGTGTGTGTGCCACAGCTGGCCATTTGTTATTGAAAGCTCTGAAAGATGCGCTGTCAGTGGCCTATACTGTGAAATTCACTCCTCGAAAGTGTAGAATTTTTAGGATATTCCCAGAGTCATGCAACTAGCGTTGCTGTCTAATTCCAGAACATTTTATCATCCATAAAAGAATCCTTGTGCTCTTTAGAAGTTACTCCCCATACATATGTATTTCAACAGTACATAAAAAGTAGAAGCTGCCTCTTTGGTATCTAAATGCATTTTACAAGTTCTTGAAGGTTCCGACCAGAAAAAGAGAGCCTTCAGCTGAACAGGGGATATAGTCCCATTGCTGAGACAAAACACCTGGCACCCATGACTCAGAGGACAAGTGGTTTATTGGGCTCATAGTTTCCGGTAGGTTCAAACCATGCTTAGCTGGCTCCAAGGCAGACAGCATGCTCATGACATGTCAGCTTGGAAGGACAGCAAGAGAAGCTGCATGTAAGAATACACCCTTCCAGATCACTTCCAGTGACCTGCCTCTTGTGACCAGGCTCCATCTCCAAACACATGAGACTTAGCAGAGGGCATTTTAGACCTAACCATAGTATTCCTCTCCTGGCCCCCTAAAAGGCCCATGTCCATTTCATTATGCAGAGTACATTTAGTTCATCTCTGAGTGTCTC